CCTCAGCCTCCCAAAGCGTGGGATTACAGGCTGAGCCACCGAGCCCAGCTGACAGTTGCATTTCTATACACCAGCAACAAGCAGACAGAGTTACCAAATAAAAAGCACAGTTCCATTCATAATACCTTGGCATCTACCTAACCAGCTAAGTGAGAGACTTCTGCAATGAGAGTTACAAAACATTGCTCAAAGAAATCAAGAATGACACAAACAAATGGTAAAACATTCCATGCTCATGTATCAAAAAATCCATATTATCAAGATGCCCATCCTACACAAGGTAATCTACATATTCAATGCAATACCCATCAAATTACCAACATTATTTTTCTCAAACCTGGAAACGACAATTCAGAAATTTATATGGAAATAAAAGAGCATGAAGAGCCAAAAGAATCCTCAGCAAAAGGAACAAAGTGGGAGGTATCACACTTCCAGACTTTAAACTTTACTACAAGGCTATAAGTAATCAAAATAGCCAAGGCCGGGTTCAGTGGCTCAGCCTATAATCCCAGCACTTTGGGAGACCGAGATGAGTGGATTGCCTGAGCCCACGGGTTTGAGACTAGACTGGGCAAGTTGATGAGACCTCGTCTCTATAATAATAATAAAAAAAAAAATTAGCCAGGCATGGTAGCAAGTGCCTATAGTTCCGTATACTTGGAAGACTGAGGCAGAAGGATCGCCAGAGCCCAGTAGGTCGATACTCAGGTGGCTGTGAGTGTGCCACTGCACTCCAGCCTGGGCAACAGAGTGAGACTCCAACTCAAAACAAAACAAAACAAAACAAAAATAGCCTGGTACTGGTATAAGAATAGGTACACAGACAAATGGAACAGGACAGAAATTCCAGAAGCAAAAATTCAATCTCTCAACCAACTCATCTTTAACAAAGCCACCAATAACAACCACCAGGAAAAGGAGACCATATTTAGAAAGTGGAGCTGGGAAAACTGACTGACCATATACAGAAGAATGAAACAGGACCCCTGCCTATCATCGTATACAAAAAATCAACACTAAATTGATCAAAGACCTAAATGTTAAAGCTCAAATTATAAGAATCCTATTAACAGAAGAAAACATAGGAAACACACTTATGCACATTAGAGTAGGCAACCAATTCTTGACCAAATCCCCAAAAGCAAATACCATAAAGGCTAAGATAGATAAGTTGGCCCTCATCAAACTGAAAAGTTTTTGCACAGCAAAAGAAACTATCGAGAAAATGGGGAGACAACCCACTGAATGAGAAAAAAATATTTGCTAATCATATATCGGACAAGGGTCTAATATCTAAGATCTACAAGGAACTCAAATGAGCTGATAGGAAAAAAAGAAACAATCCTGTTAAAAAGTGGGCAAAGAACATAGACAGTTTTCAAAAGAAGATATACAAGCAGTCAATAGATACATGAAAAAAATGCTCAACCTCACTAATCATCAGAGAAATACAAATAAATTTTTAAAAAATAGATGCTGGCATGGGTGCAGAGAAAAGGAAATGCTTCTGCACTGCTGATAGGAGTGCAAGCTAGTTCAACCTCTATGGAAAGCAGCGTGGTGGTTCCTAAAAGAACTAAAAATTGACTTTCCATTTTATCCAGCAATCCCTCTCCTGGGAATATAAATAATTCTACAAAAAAGACACCTGTACTTACATGTTCATAGCTGCACCATTCACAATAGCAAAAACATGGAACCAACCTTACTACCCACTGAAAAGCAGACTGGATAAAGAAAATGTGGTACATATATACAATAGAGTATTATGCAGCCATAAAGAAAAAAAATCATGGATATAGTGGCAAAGAACTGAATACCACAGGTTCTCAACTCATAAGTAGGAGCTAAGCATTAGTTACATTAGCAAAATGGAGGGATTGGCAGTTGCTAAATACTCCCAGGGGAGAGAGGGAGCGTGAAGTGGGGGGCCATGCAACAACACAAAGGGTACCTGGCCCCAAACCAGGAGAAGTGAGGACCAGTTCAAGGCCCAAACTTTACCTGCATGAAGCCTCTTTGTATAGCTAATCCCCACATCTCAAATTAAATTAAATAAAATTAAATAATTTAATTTAATTTTTTTAAAAAAGCAGGGTAGTCTTTTGGAAGTGAGCCCTTAATTTGTGGAGTTTATTATTAACTCCAGGTGGATAAATTCAGAATTAAATAAAAATGAAGAACCAGCAGTTGGTGTCTGGAGGGTTGAAGAACTGGTTATTTGTGTTGTAAAAACACTCCCAGACTACCATAACCATTCTTTCTTATTGGTTAGACACAATGCCACTAATCTTTACATTATACTCTATAACCTTATCAGCTCATGTCCTTCAACAACTTAACTGCCAAACTTAACCTTAACCACAGCATGTTTCTAACATATTTTACAACTCCAGCAAGATATTATCAGAGATACCCCAAAACTTCCAGATAAATTTTTTTGGTTAATGCCATATAAATAGAAACACAGTTAAAGGCTGCCCTGCAAGGACTTCTTATACTTCTGTTTCTCCTGTCTTACTTTCATAATAAGTTTCACATGCTATTTAGGACAATCTATGCCCTACTTCCAAAAATTCTCTACTATCATCACCCCATGATTTCATTAATATGATGTCAAAGCATCAGGGAACTGATGTATTAATTACATCTTCAACTTTGTATTAATAATGTTTTAAATTTTCTTATGTTTTATATTATGATGTTTTGCCATCTTAAAAAAACCTTGTAGCTAGGGAGAGACTATTGCTCCCAGATTTAGCCAGTTCTCAGAAACAGCAAAGGCTTGAACAGGAGCACTCTGGTGATTTGTAAACTAACAAGTCCAGAGCCCAAATTCCATGCTACTTCTTATATGTGGCTCATATACTCCAGGAGCAAATATTTATTTTCCATAATCATCCTGGGCCTAGGTACCAGACAACCAAAGCCAACACCTTAATCCCAAGGTCCGCCAAATTATTTGTGCTAGCCAATCCTACAGTGTTTAATCTACACTGCCTTAACTGCAGAAACCCCCAATAAAAGCTGTGACCTAAATGTTTTCCCCTCACTCCTGCTTCAGCCTCCTGACCACCTGCACTTCCACACGTGTTCCTGCCTGGAATGAACCTTTTCTTATGAAAGTAATAAATTATTCTCTCAATGTCATTAACTTTCCCATGTTGGCACTCAATAATACAAGGCTGGGCACAGTGGCTCAGCCTGTAATCCCAGCATTTTGGGAGGCCGAGGCAAGTGGACTGTCTTAGCCCAGGGGTTCGAGACCAGCTTGGGCAACTTGTTGAGACCTGGTCTCTACAATAAAAATTTAAAAATTAGCTGGGCGTGGTAGCATGCGCCTATAGTTCCAGCTACTTGGAAGGCTAAGGTGGAAGGATCATCTAAAGCCCAGAAGATTGAGGTTGTGGTGGCCATCAATGTGCCACTGCACTCCAGCCTGAGCAATAGAGTGAGACCCCAACTGAAAAAAAAATAAACTCAACAAATTAAAATCCTGTGGGTGTATTTTAAAATATGGAAGGGAAAGTTCTATCAAATATACACAAAGAATGAATCCATAGGCTATGAGGATGAGGGAACTGGAGTTGGGGGTTGATAAAGGAACTGCTTGGCAGTATTGGGCCTCTAAAAATTACAAAACAAGAAGAAGCCTTATCAGATGAAAAGACACAAGGATAGGTTGCAGCAGGGAGGAGAAGCAGGGTCTCCCACTTATTCCTCTGTGAAGTTTTTAGCAAGACCTCATCTGCTGGTGACATATGCATGCTGTGCAGAAAGTTGGTTATGTCCAGGCCCAGGAAAAAATGATTGCAACTGAGTAGCAACTGCTTAGGATTATTTAATAATAATGTGCATATGACACATTAAGTGTGGGTTAGTGTTGTAGAATGCAACAAAGGGGGCTTTAAAGAGGAACAAATGATATGAAAAGATGAAAAAACCAGGGACAGCCAGGAGCTGGAAATCATAGGTGAAATGAAAAGTCAGAAAAGTGTCACATACATGGAAGAAAAGGTAGAATGAGGTGTATCTAGTGGCATTTCCACACAGAGACACAGGACGGGTTCCTGGTATGACTTGAAAACAGTCCAGGTATCATGCCCTGCACCACTTGCCACTCACAGGCCTGGCCTCCTCTGAGGAATCACAGCATATCCATCCTATGAAGCAACCAGGGCTCTCCTCATACCCCTAGTTCTACAACTAAAAGGGACCTGCATGATGTAAGTTCTAAGGAAAGACAGGACAGGTAAGCAGTCAGCACTGACCCAGAGCTGTACACAACAAACCACAGGGAAATATATTAGTATTACAAAATGCCTGAAAGGAGGGTCTGGTAAAATAGTTCATTGGCCACAAAAGTATTTATTATGATAACGCCAAGATTCCCAATACAGGGAGCTATGAGGAAATGTTGGCTAAAAGAAAGTGTCAGAACTGGGGGAAAAATTGTCACGGATTTGGATATAGTCACCTGGCCAAGGAGAGGGCAAGGAAGATGAGATCCATTAGGCTGACTGTAAGACACTGTCACTAGATCCTTCCCTGAATGCTTTGGGATAGCAAGTGCTAGTATTGTTGATGAAGAGGTTTGCTTGGGACAGCACACATAGCTCAGTGCTGTCCCCCATAGTACATATGCTGAGAAAGTGGGGAAGTCAGCAGAGCCCACAAGCCAGATGTGGCAAGGACAGAGCTGCACCGGGGGAAAAAGAGGACAGAGAGCAGGACATTGGGGTGGGTGTGAGGGCCTTACCCAGTGAGGTTATAAGTGCAGAGTTCTCCAACATCACTTCAAGGTACAGGTGCCTCTGAGACTCATCAAGGAGCTCCCACTCCTCCTGGGAGAAGTAAATTGACACATCCTTGAAGGTCACACAGCCCTGTCAGAATGAGGACAGATCATTTATTGTTCAACTTCTCTCCTAGGATTCCAAGTTCATCCACCCACACATCCTTCCCCAGCTCATTCTCCTCCCCATCTTGTCACCTCTGAAGAGATACAAGGCCCCAGTGCCACTGATACTCCCTGTCTCATCATGGTCCCCAAATCAATGTGTCCTCCAACAGCAACAGCAGGCAGGTGGACAGGGAGACATCATCTAAACTCTGGACCTGGCATGTAGGGCTGTAACCTCTCTTGTCAAGCAATTATACCGGGGTTCCCTAAGTTGTGCCTCTCAGACACAACCAAACATGGGCACATGGGCACACCCTTCTCCTTACCTCTTGAATGCCAGTGCCCTTGGGCCACAAGTTCATACTCCACCTACATGGGCACATTTCTCCTTGGAGCACACTGTCTCACAGAGTGTCACTCCCACAGCCATCTCTATCCCTCTGCCCCACACCATAGGTATCTCTCTGGCCTCCCCACATGACTCAGCACAAGGCATCCAGAAAGTTATTGGCAAACGGAGACAGAGTACAGTGATACCCAAACCTCCAATAGTTCCTACTGTCACAGACAGCCCCCATCCTGTTCTGAAAGCCTCCCTTCCTGACTCTATTCCTTGCTTCAACCTTAACTACCAGGAGCTACCCGCAAATCACAGACACCCATGGCCCTCCTTCACTTGTGCTATATTTGATGTCGCCTTACCAGTTGCAGCCTTCCTTTCTCCATCTAACCATCATTCGATGCCCAGCCCCAGAGGCCTTCCCTTCCAGATCCAGTGATCATCCCAGATGACCACTTGTGCCACTGGGATAATCTACTTGACTAGAACTCAGCTTGATTGAAACTCCCCAGATGCACCAATGTCACTGCTAAATCCTGGTGAGTCCAAAGCCTGGTGAATAAGCACTAGTATTGGCTGCAGTGTCATTTGCCTGAGTTATTCCTGTGTTTCTGCAGCTGACTCATGTCCATTCTTCCCATGGAAACCTCGGCTACCTGCCAGGTCATCCACTTTTCCCATTCCCATGGTCACTTCCCTCCCTCAGCTGTGTTTGTGACACCCACCAACTCCACCCAGATTCCCAAGTCATGGACCCCACACTTTCTTTCCTGGGCTGCTAATCACATTACCATCTTGACCAGGATTCCCCCTCCTAATTGTGATCCAAGCTACATCCAAAGGTAAACATTAATCACTACCTTCCAGCTATCTCTATCCTCAATCGCTCCCCAGAATTCCAGATCTAGGTGGCAGCTATCAATTCCATATCTCCATTAACTGCTCTTTGAAACTTCTCACTCTTAAGATGGTCAAAAACAAAGCTCCTGATATCCTCAATGAAAATCAATCCTATTATCAACTTTAACATCCCAATAAATAAGCATCCCTTCCAGCTCCTAAAACCCAACTCCTACATTTCTTTCACCCTCAAAATCTGAAAATCCAGGGCACCCTAACTAAAAACTAACCCAGAATACAACCATATTTTTTACCTCTTTGGCCACCCATTGGTCCAGCCACCATCAACACTCACCTAGACTATCGCAGTAGTTTCTTCTCTGGTCTTCCTATCACGTCATTCAGGCCCACAGTCTGTTCTCATTGTTGCAGTCTCAGGGAGCCTGGTAGGACTGCGGTCAGATCACCTTGTTCTCTGCTCTAAACCTCCCATTGCTCTCTTCACCTCCAGAATAGACACCCAACTTCTCACAATACCATTCCAGGCCTGACTTCTGCCTCTTGCTCTAATGTCTCATGAGAAACAAGGAAACCTGTCATTCCTGAGTTAACTCAGCCTCACCTCCAAGCATTTGCACATCCTGAGACCTATGCCTGGGGTAACCCTTCATCTCATTCCATTGGCTGCCAGCAATAGGAAACACTCTGTATATCCCTAGCCTGGATTTACAGCCCTTGGCTTGGGGTTTCTTCAGGGTCCCCAGGCCCATGGACCAAAAAAGCGGCAGGTGAAGAATCCAAGCATACAATTCCAGACACAGGGATGGGCTGGCATCAGTGAGGCCCTGGACTATCCCCCACTCACCTCTGCACAGTCCATAAGAGCTTCTGTAGCCATGGAGATCTGTGGAAAGAAGGTTGTGAGAGGCAGGTGACCATGGTGGAGGCTCTGCAAGCTCAGATCTCCCAGTAACTCTGGCCACTCCTTGAATTAAATCTTGGGATGACTAAGCTATCTCTAGGCTTCACTCCTCCTGCTGATTCTTACCTGCTGTGGGTTGTTGCACAAGGAGTCAACCTTCCTGTTCCTCAATGTTATCATCTCCTTTCCAGGCTGTTCTAACTCGCAGCGGTTTTTGCAAAACTTTGAAAAGTCTAACTCAGACCATGTGCCTCTTCTGCTCACAACCTTCCATGGCTCCCAGAGTCCTGAGAATGAAGGTAAAACTTCTCACCTTCCTATTCTGGACGTGAACGCTTCCGGCTCCATTGCCCAAACGAGACATGAGATGCCAGTTCCTCTGTCTGTCACACTCTTCCACACCCCATTACGCTGCCTCCCAGAAGTAAGCATCCCTCCCCATGAGCGACTCACTGTCCTGAACACAGAGGCCAGGGCTGCAGGGGCTTCGGGATCGGAGTGGGGTGAGGGCGGGTGAGGCCCAGACCACGCAGCGTTTACCTGAACCGGGTCCCTCTGCGCAGCCGCCGCCATCGGACTCTGCGGGGGTAACCGGCCGGGAGCGGTGAGCGGCAGGGCTGGCGGGCAGGGCCCGGCGGAGCTGACACCAACGTTGTCGGCCCTCAGATCAGCGAGTGTGCAGTGGGGGCGACCCCTCCTCCCGCGCCGTCCTCGCCTCGACACCTCAATCTCAACTCCGCGATCCCAAAGTTCTAGTGGCCAGGACCGACGCAATAGAAGCCAGAATCCTTGCCGCAGCAGCGACACCGGAAGTCCCGCCCCGACTCTGCGGGTCAAACACGGAAACGGCCCTTGACTGAGCGCTCGTTGGCTCATTGTCTTGCCACTTGGCTCGGGGCATTGTGGGTAATGTAGTTTCCACTGCTCCGCCCGCTGCTGCTGAGGGACCTCCTCCTCCCGAGCGCAGAGTCCGGGAGCTAGGCGGCGGTGAGGATTGCGTCCTGCTCTGAGGGCCGTTCCTGAGATTGTCCTGCTAGGTCTGCGGGTGACGGTAGAGAGACGGTCCCCGCCGGGCCCGGGGCTCCTACTGGCGTCTCGACCTCCACACAGAAACCCTTCCGCCAGCGGGGACCGATGGGGACCGGGACGCGGACCGGGTCGCGAGCAGCGTCCGGAGGCCAGAAACGCTTCCGCAGACCGTCCTGAGTCCCCGCCCGCGTCTCGGAGCTGCTCCCGGCCTCTTCGACTCCCGGGCAAGGACCGGCTGGCGAAAGCCCCGGGTCTGGGTCTGAGTCGCAGCCCGTTGAGGGCGGCAGGTGTCTCGGGGGCTGGGGTTGTCTGTGCCTCTGCGGAGTTGTCTGGAGAGGCCAGGACACGCCCCCTCAGGCGAAACATCCAGACTCGCTCCGCGCAGGGAGCAGTGGGGAGGAGACTTGGTGGGGACCCGGGCTCCGTGGGGGGAGGGGAGGGGAGTAAGGGGACTCGGAATCTAGAGCAAAAGGGCGGTGCCCGGTCCTGGAGTGGGAAACTCGGGCTCTGTCTGCAGGGCAAGTGGCGCGGACTCCTCTCTGGGGCGGGAGCGAGGTCCTTGGCTCTGGGAGGAGCGGTGGAGGCCGCCGCTGGAGCAGGGGGGGAGGGGAAGCCCTGTCCAAGGAGCCTCTGAGGGACGCAAGAGCTTCTGAGGGTGTCTGGGAGTTCCTACCCAGCTCCACAGTTCTCCCTGCTCCTCTGACCGGACCGGCCTCTGCGCAGCTCTCGCGCGCTCCTGTGACCACCCCTGGAATTAAATCTTGAGATAACTAAAATCTCAAGACAGGCGGTCCCTGGGTGCTGCACGGGAAAGTCGGTATTTGGCCGCTGAATTGAAAAGGGCCACTCAGCCCCGAGGTACGTGTCCTTAAAGTCCTCTGTGGAGGTGCAGACGCTCTCCTGGTGTGTTCTGTGGACTGTGCACTCCACTGCCCTGCCGCCTGAGCCACCTTCTTACCCTGGTACTGCAGACTTTCGTTCCCTTCAGGGTCCCTACCCAACCCACCACCCACTGCTCACGGCCCTCACTGCCCCTCAAGATGGAACCTCATCACATGTGGCCATACTGACTTGAAATGCTTTGGTCAGCAGAGGGAGAGAACCGAGGTTACTTTGGAAGCCCAGGATTTGGGAGAGCTCTGAGTAGACCTCTGCCCTGCATGGTGCACATTGAGGAGCTACAAGGCTCAAGATGATGCAAGTGGCTCTGGCCTGGGGGAAGGTCCCGAAGCCAACAGCTGTGAATATATTACACTCACAGCTTTGCCTGTATGGGAAAAAGACCATGGAGGCACAAACTCAGACTATGAGCCCCAAACACATATAGTTAATTGTGGAGAATACAGTATTCCCCTCTTGTCCACAGTTTCATATTCTCAGGTTTGGGTTGACCACAGTGGGAAAATAGGTGAGTACAGTACAAGAAGATATTTTGAGAGAGAGTACATTTATGTCTTTTATTACAATATATTATTATAATTGTCATGTTTTGTTATTGTTGTTAATCTTACTGTGCCTAATTTATAAATTAAACTTTATCCTAGATATATATATGTGTATATATATATATGTATATATATTCATATATATATATGAAAAAATCGTGTATATATAGGGTTTGGTACTGTACTGTCTATGGTTTCAAGCATCAGCTGGGGGTCTTGAAACTATTTGCTGAAGGTAAGGTGGGACTACCTTATGACTAAAACTATAAACTTGATAAATCTGTCTGGATTGAGTGAAGCATATCATCCATCATTTGTTTTCACACTATACTTTGTGCTGTTCATTGGGCCAGACACTTTGATAGGAACAAAGATATTTACCAAAAGATGCAGGGTACAGGAAAAGAAACAACAAAAGCCAATGCACTTTGGGGATCCCATTCTGAACTCCATCTATCTAGAGAAAGTGGGGCAAAACTTAATGAACTGGAAGTCTCTGAAGAGGCAGATAGTGATGAGGGAAATATCTCTGGCCACTCTGTGAAAATAGAAGTTTACATCCAACCTCATCCAGGAAATATTTTGATCCAAAAGCTGCTGCTAGGCTGGGTGTGGTGGCTCATGCCTATAATCCTAGCACTTTGGGAGGCCAAGGCAGGAGGATTGCTTGAGCCCTGGAATTCAAGTCCAGCCTGGGCAACAAAGCAAGACCTCGTCTCTACAAAAAATCAGCCAGGTATGGTGGCACATGCCTGTAGTCCCAGCTACTCAAGAGGCTTACACAGGAGGATGGCTTGAGTCCAGGGGTTGGAGGCTTCAGTGAGCCGTGATTATACCATCGCACTGCAGCCTGGGCAATAGAGTGAGACCCTAATTCAAAACACACACACACACACACACACACAGCCACTGTCTGAGAGATTCCTTGGAATAAAAACTTCAATGAGTTGGGTAAGACTATTTGATTGTGAATCACATCTGTGGGTCTCACATTTTGTCCTGTGAAGAAAGTGAAATTATAAAAACAAAGGTCAGTAGTTTCCAAGGATTCCACTCCCAACTGAATGAGGAACATAGTCAAAAACTTGTCAAAAACTATCACATCAGTATTTATTAGACATTGATTTTAATTGGAGTCAAATGAATGGGTAATTTAACATAACTATGTTTCCATCACCATGCCCAATAACATCCAGTGCTAAACCAACACATATTTTCTCGCTTTAAGTGGGCATAAAGTATGTGTGCTTATAAGTGTGGAGGCTATTCATGAAAGTTCTACTTGGAAACAGTTTACCTGTCTATCCCTATGAATTGATGAATGAATTATGGTACATATGCACAGCAAGTTTTCCACTACTGTAAATTGAATGAGGGGGATCTCTACACTTTAATCTACGGTTACCAAATGGGCGCATTCTAGAATGAAAAGTCAGGTACACAACTGTGTGTAGAGTATGTGAGATTTTTCCAACTATGTTGGAGGAATAAAAATGTAGGCACAAGGCCAGGCACAATGGCCCATGCCTGTAATCCCAGCACTCTGGAAGGTCGAAGCAGGGGAATGACTTGAACCCAGGAGTTCAAGACCAGCCTGGGCAGCATAGTGAGACCTTATCTCTACAAAAAAATACAAAAAAAAATTAGCTGGACATGGTGATATACACCTGTAGTCCCAGCTACTCAACAGAGTGAGGTGGGAAGATTGCTTGAGCCAAGGAGGTCGATGCTACGATGAGCTGGAATCTTGCCATTGTACTCTAGCCTGAGTGACAGAGTGAGACTCTGTCTCAAAAAAAATCATAGACACAGAACGTATAGGATGGGGCAGAAATCAAAGATAGACTTTTAAGAAAAAAACATACTGTTTTGTTTGTAGGATTGTAAATATTTCAGATAATTGTGAAGTAATATTAAACCAAATTAAATGTTTAAAAAACATTAAATCCAACGGTTAAAAAAACTGACTGAATATCCAATTTGTGTCCTCTGTATGAAAAGTATATACTTCAACTAATTTGAAAATACAGAATTTTGACTATATTCCTAGGATCATATCAAGGCAAAACTACTTGAAAAATCTTAAAATATGTCTACATGTTTTATTAAAGGGCACTGGTGTGATATTTTTGAAGCTAACATATTAATATAAATGGAAAATAAGGCTTTCAGTGTAAGTAAAAATAAATGCGTATATAAAACTAGTGAATTTAAATAAAACTCTAAATGCTATACCTTATATAAACAATCAGCATTAACTCAAATAGTGTTTGATTTTAAACATACGTGTATTTCCTTTCTGTTTACATTGTAACAAAATCTAGGCATTCTAGATAACTGTCTACGGACATGGTGGCTCATGCCTATAATCCCAGCACTTTGAGAGGCTGAGGAGGGAGTATTGCTTGACCCCAGGAGTTTGATACCAGCTTGGGAAACATAGCAAGACCTAGTTTCTACACACACAGAATAGCCAGGTGTGGTGTCACACACCTGTAATCCCAGTTGCTTGGGAGGCTGAGGTGGGAGGATCACCTGAGCCCAAGAGATCAAGGCTGCAGTGAGCTGTGTTTGTGCCATTGCATTCCAGCCTGGGCAACTGAGTGAGATCTTGACTCAAAAGAAAAAAGAAGAAGAAAGAAGGAAAGAAATTATAGATAACTGCCAATGATGCCTAATTATAGCATCCAATTTGTTGACTCTTAATAGAATTTCTCAGTGTAAGAATACAGAGTGTCTTAAAGAAACACACATGCTTGTACACCAAAACAACTCATTCCAGATCTGGGACTGGAACTTTTTAAGATAATTTGGAAAAATTTTTTTTTTTTTTGAGTTGAACTCTCACTCTGTCGCCCAGACTGGAGTGCAGTGGCCGCTCCCGGCCACTGTAGCCTCAACCTGCTGGGCTCTGGCGATCCTTTCACCTCAGCCTTCCGAGTAGCCGGAATTACAGGCATGCACTACCATGCCCGGCTGACTTTTTGATTTTATTGTAGAGATGAGGTCTCACCAAGTTGCCCAAGCGGGTCTCGAACCCGCGGGCTCAGGCAATCCACTCACCTCAGCCTCCCAAAGCGTGGGATTACAGGCTGAGCCACCAAGTCTGGCTTGGAAATTCTATCAA